TTCCTTGGCTCCATGATGGTATTCCTGTGAATGTCTGAAGTTTCAAACTTATGTACAAGAAACCGATATGCACTACTATTATGTGCATAACCAATGAATATACAATCCACGAATTTCGGGTCTATCCTAACCCGTTTAGGTGTAGGAATTGCCACTATTGCAAGACACCCCACATTTGTAAGAATTTATAAGATGGCTTAACGCCTTTTCATAACTCATACGGGATCTTGTCCACTTCGCTTCAACACAAGTTTCACACTTGTGTTTCGTCAGAACGACCTTGTCGGACTCAAAAAACCATGCGAAAAACATGTTTACTAAGAAGAGACATTGAGACAAGATTCTAACGAATGTCCAAAAGATACAGGACTTCGTTCAAAGTTAGCTCTTTTTCCTGAGGTTAACTTCAAGACCACTTTTCCCTCAACAAATGAGGTAGTAGAGTTTCCCATAAACAACTTCTCGCCGTTTGTAACCGGTTCAAAAGTTGTAAACAGCTTGTGCTCGGAGCAGATGTGGCGTGTAGCCCCAGTATCAATCCACCATTCTCTTGGGTTTAAACCCACCAGATTCACCTCAGAGACAACGGCAGACAAATGCATATCATCCTCCTCATGGGAGTGCTCTTGTAAGTCTTCCATATGAGCACGAGGTTTGGTCTTGTATGGCTTCTTCTGCTTGCGGCAGTCACTAGCCCGATGCCCCTCGTTACCACAGTTATAACACTTCCCAAAGAACCGATAACCAGGTTCCCGCGGTTTGTATGCCAGCTTCTTTGCAACACCACCCATTGGCCCCAGCTAAGAGCCCTTGTTCACGGGAGGCTTCTTCCTCATCCCAGAAGATTTGCCATGCTCAAAGACATTTGCCTTCACTGAGGAGGTACTCCCTCCTTTTTTTCTATTATCCTCCTCAATTCGAAGTCGAATAATCAAGTATTCTTTGTAGAATTTATACAAAGTTTTAAATAAATCCTTGTGTCACAATGATTATGAAACTCTCAAAATCAAATCACAGTAAATACATTCCCAGAATGTCATCAACCGAATTAGGCACTCAAATATATTTGGTCTAACCTATCACTCTGAAGCCAATAGTCTTACTATTAAGAAACACAAATCCAGTGTTCAATAGTCTACTATTCGAAACTTCATAACATGGCCAGTAGTCTTATCACTAGGAATCACTAATTTCTCAGCATGTGGTCAGTAGACTTTCTACTACTAGGCATCACAATGTCTTAACTTGTGATCAGTAGTCACTTTACTACTAGGAATCACAACGTTCTGACAAAGGATCAATTTACTAGGAATCATCATGTCTTGACATATGACTAGTAACCTCTCCACTACTAGGAACCATGATGTCTTGACATGTGATCAGTAATCTGTTCACTACTAGGAACCATAATCTCATAACTGAGTAGCCAGTGGTCTAACACCTTCTAGGAACCACCAGTTTTCTATCTCTGTAATTAGTGATCTTGTACTCACTAGGAGCCACCAATTTAAGAATATATTTGGAATTTAAAAATCCAAAAAATATTCACCCACTATAACAGGTTTACTCATCTTTGCTTTCAAACAAAGTCACATAGCAATCATAAATGCTATAAATAACACAAGGATACCATACTATTTTCCTTTGATCAATTCAAAGATATTTTAATGCAATCTTATGATTTCTTTTAATCATACTTGATCTCTCAAGAACGTCCTTTAAGAATCTCTCGAGGCTAAGGTTGTCAGGTGGAACAACATTTCTGTTTGTCACCTTTTTAAAGCCATTTCTGAAACATCACAACAGAATTTCACTTCTGTGATTCCAGAAATTAAACTTAACCCTTAGAAAATTCCTTAGATGGAAATTTAATTCAAAACTAGTCTCACTATTTAACCTAGAATCGAACATGATCAGGAATGTTTCCAGGAAGACTGGAGGGGACGCATCGGTCCCACTTAAAACCCAGTTAACCTTTTGACAAAACATGGTCAGGAATGTTCTCAGGAAGACTGGAGGGGTCACATCGATCCCACTTAAAACCAGTTAACCTTTTGACAAAACATTCAAGAGCATGTTGACTCCTAGTCCATAGGAAACAATTTAAAAATTAAGATTTTCAGGGGATAAACCAGGTTATAACAAACCGATTCCAAAGCAAATAAAATTTGCTTCTAGAATTACACCACTCATAAAAGTTAACCGGTACTCCCGGAACTAAGCCCATTAATTCTGAATAAAATCAGAAATATTTTAGCTAATGCTAAAATTTGGTTTCCTTTCTCAAAACCAAAACACTTTGGACATAATCAGATTATAACCAAAGACTTTCTCCAAACTTGGTTTTCCAACACTTTGGGAATAAAATGATTAAACCCAAAGACTTCCTTAAACTCTAAAGGTTTGAAATCAAATCCGTCTTAGTTGTCATTTCTGAACAAATAAGAACTACTCTTTAGCCAAAGCTAAAACTTTGGTTTCTATCACAGAAACCAAACCAAATTCCAAACTTACAAGCAATTTAAAAAATTGCTATAACAATTACACGCATACAAAATGCTTATAACAAAACAAACAAATAAAACTTGGTACTACAAATTGGTAAATAAACCAACTAAATCTCAAGCAAAACATGCTTCAAACATTTAAACAAAATAGCAAATCCATAAGGATTCTATTTAGTCCAAAAGCCTTTCTACGCTTAGGTATTCCTATTCAACACAAAAGTTAGTAGTCCAAACATTTTTGTTTTTACATCCCAAATACTATTCATTTGGTTTTGTATTTATTTTTTCCATTCCATTTCGCATAAGTATTCCTGTAAAGAAAGTTAGCAGAAAAAATCATAACAAAATACAAACAAATAATCTAAGCAAAAATATATATATATATATATATATATAATAAATAATTGAAACCATCTAGCCAACTATTTATAAAATTAACCAATGAATTAAAATGTCAATTAAATTAAAACTTTAAAATAAAGTTCAATACTTATGAGCTATGAATGAAATTAATTCATAATAAACATTTAAACTAATAACTCCAATAAATAAGTTAAATTCAAAGTTAATGCACCCAATTAAATAATTCAAATTAATGCACCCAATTAGATAATTTAGATTAATGCACCTAATTAAATTCAAATTAATCATGTACACAATTCATAAAAACTCTATAACTCCAAAATACATTAAATTATGTAATCTAGTCTAGAAAATAATAAGCATGTAACAAATTAAAAATTAGAATAGAATTAGCATGTCAAAATTATAACATCCATAAATTATATTTTATAATCTTAAAATTCATGCAAATCATGGTAGGGGAATGATGAACCATACGCATAAAACAAGATCATACTAATACAATTAAGTATGCAAATTATGATAGAGCATTCTAATTAAACCAAGCAATTAGAGAATAACATTGCATAATTTACAATCATTGAAATAGTGAGCAATTCTGCAACAGTTCCTAGTAATATTATACAAAGCTAATCTAATTGTCTATATAAATCTATTCGATCAATTTTATAGAAAATATATAAAAATCTATTTTAAGCTTGTTATCCAAATTGTGAAATTAAATAAATAGATTTATGAAGAAATCAAAATTATATACCAAGAACATATGCTGACAATTACAACTAAATTTCAACAGAAATACACAAAACAATAAAATGGTAAAGAAACCAAACCGAAACCTGCACGGTAGCAGTTTCCTTAAAACAGATTTCGCCGCCTCACGGGTCGAGTACTTGAGGAATCCCGGCGTCTGTCTCCCAGGATACGACGGCCAAAACCAGCTACGGCAGAAGCACTCTCTGTCTAGCTTAGCGAACAAAAACTGTGGCAGCACTCTCTCGCTGCAGGAACTTTCTGGCAAACTGACTTGTAAAATAGAAGCAAAAATTTCTACATAGAGACTTGACTAGAGGGTCTCAATTTATACATGTATAAAGGAGAGAGGAAGAGCCACCAGCCTTTATGGCTGGTTATTAAAGCCCTATTAACCAGGATCCATAACCCCTTTCCAGAAAGATGAAAAGTTTGGATGCCCAATAGAATTCACACCCTTTAGCCAAGAAAAAGGATTTAAACTCTTTAAAATCCTATTCATGAATCTAACATCATGAGGCAATTTCTTGACAATTTCTTATTCAATTCTTAATGATTTTTGACCCACTTGGACCCAACACAAAAGATGGTTGAGACCCACTTTAATATTTAATTAAAGTCACTAAAAAACCATGTTTTCTAACAACCATAACATACTCGTTATATGAAATACAAATTTGTCTATTTAACAAAGTTTTATTTGTATAATTATTACAGTGAAGTGTACTAGTTATGCAAATATTTTCAAGCACTTGCCATGTTTTGGGAACTAAAGAAAAAAAGGCTGCGTTTTGCAGCTTGGGCTAAAAAAATCAAAATGACCTTTTTGTCATCAAATCATTTGGAAAGATATCTACAAGCCACTTGTAAAATTACAATTACATCCTTTATATTGTTTAAATGAGTCACATGAGTGAAAGTAATTAATTATTTTCTAACATGAATGAAGGTATTTTGATCATTTGATTATGATGTGACAGTATAAACAGATATTAAGTAAAAAAAAAAAGCCAAAAAATAACTTTTTAACAACTTCCTAAATGACTTTTAAATATATAATTATTTGAATTTTCATTTTTTTCACCAAATTAGTTTTTGAATTTTTTTTAAAAACTATATTTTGAAAACTCAACCAAACAGTTCTAATTTAGATGTTTCACACAAACATAAATGAGGTTTGACATTTAGATGAAGACTGGAGAAACCAATATGCGTATAGAATCCAAAGAGACTGAACAATCTCTTTGGGTAGAAAATTTAATAATTATGTGGTCTTGAACATTAACAACTACACACCTCATGCATTTTTGCAAAATCAACTATGTTTTTCAACCCACATTTATCAGGAAAGAAAATTACATCCGAATCAATTCAAGATAACAATCAAATAGATCTCTTACATTCTTTGATCAGTACAACACACAAGTTAACCACAAGTTTACAATGAAATCAAGATGGCAGTTTTGTACATTGATCAATAACGGCATTTTTTAAATAATAAGCACTTTACATTCTGTTCGAATTGAGATTAGGTTAGTCCTACACCTTTTATTGCTCCAACATCTTAACCCGTCCCATCAGACTAAGAATTACGTGCCACACAAAAAGGTGAAAGTGTACATGTTGGTACTGAATGCATATTAATGTTGAAATATCTCAACATGTTCCATAGACAGATTAAGACACCTAAAATCATAGCAACCAAAACTACTCTAAGCTAGCCAACCAAACCAATCTTCTTTCGGAAGACATTGCCATAAACATCTCCCTCCAATCTAAATCCTTAAACATCTTGATTGCCTTTATGTAGGTACTTGAATCCACTCCTTCAATCGCTTCTAGACACTTGACACAATTGGTAATTGAGAATGGACTAGCTTGGGAAGATGTCTCAAGTTTATGGAAAGTTGGGGTCATTACCTTACTAGTTTCAGCCCATTTTCTATCAGACATCCCCGAGGGAACTGTAGCTTCAGTCCATTCCTTCAATGCCGCACCCTCCACTGCTGTTCTTGCCTCTCTCTTCCCTCTAAGATGGCTTGTAGGAGTGGAAGATCGTTGGCGACGGCGTCTAGTACTTTGCGAGGGAAAATCTCTACCATTGCTACTGTCACTTGGGAAAGCGGATGGAGTAGCATTTGTTGACTCATCTTCTACGTCCAATTTATATTCACTGACCATTGGATACTGAGCTAATGGAAATACATCTTTGTAACTTGATGTTGGGTCCCCAAATATGATTCCTAACTCATTAAACATTGGGCACCCTTTTTTCCGAAATCTCTTCACATTTTTGTTTCCCTATATTAAAAAATACACAGCTGTGATTCAGTGAAGTTTAAAGAAAAGTGGCTTCAATTTCAAAATTTTAAAATTTAAGTGTTCACCTTTATATATGATTCCCAAACAGCATCAGTTGCGGTTACAGTACTGAGCACGGGTTCCCAAGTAAACCCAGGTTCCTTCAACAGCTTACTAAAATCATTAAAACGGGTTCTCAGCTGGTTAAACTTATTTCTAAACTGAGAATTGTTGTACCTCTTGTTGGTTTTCTCACAGAACTCTTGTTCAATTTGTTTCCAACCTTTCCTTGAAAAGGTGGTTGATGATCTATTCCCTTTGTGAACCTCTTTCACCATTAACTGAATATAAAGTTCCTCCTCTAAGGTTGTCCATGTTGCAGGATCGGGCTCAATTTCTACTTCATCTCCTCCATTTAGTCTAAGTGCCATCTAAATAGGAATATAAAAACATATGTAAGCCAGAAAAAAGTTGATCGATAATCATACCTTAGCTCAAGAAACATCAAAATAGTAGAAGGTTGTGTGTTAAGATGTCTGAAATATGGTGAATAAACCGAGCATGGCTCATCATCAGAGTATGATAATTACTCAACTCAGGACCACAAACCGAACAATAAAATTATAACAGGTGTTTGCTTCATTGGACTAAGGCATGGGATTGGATTCTATATCCAATAGATTTACTAGTCCATCGTTTGGTTAGAAAAATGAGAGTCGGACTAATAGTCAAATACATATCATTTCTAGTCAAATATTCCAGTGACTATTTATCTCGGGCCTAACAGTCCATTGCATTCCAATTGCAAGTTAAACTGTCTCCATAAAATTCAGACTATCTCAACCAAATGAACTAAGACAGATACATCCAGAGTGAGAGCAACAAACCTCATGATAGTGTCCAAAGCAGAAAGCTACGAGGTCCCAAGGCCAGTCAACTTAATTATTTCTGACAAAACCACCAGCTTCATTAGATTAAAAACAAAATACCAGGAAAATAAGGATTGCAGTAACTTTACACGCATGCATATGACACTAGTAAAAAATATCAAGGAGACCTTATTCTTTCTTCAACGTTAAGGATGCATTCGTTTCATTCACTCCAGATCTATCCTTGGAGGTTTTTGCAACATTTTCCCCTGCACAACATTTATTTTGTTTTTCTCCCAAATATTTTATAAAAAAAATCTGCTAACCTTTGATCCAAAACACAGGTTTGATTGACTCAAACAAACAAACAAAAATCCATTTAAGCCTGGAAACAAAGAAGCCATGCAGCAATCACATGAACCGCAAACCAGCACTAGCAGTTGCTCCATGCACATCTCCTGCAGAACCCACTTAATTTCACAACTGAATTTCAAGGTGATGGGGGAAAGAAGAAGAAAGGAGAATGAAAGTTATAAAAGATGGGAATCAAAGTTTCACTGTGGGAGGTAAAATTAGCACCAAATTGAACAAGGTCCAGCTTGGATGAGGTGGCAAGATCTGCTTGCGCAGATCCGAGCAGGGCACATGGAAGAATCTGAGAGAGCCATGTGTAAAACGGTGGTCAAATCCTAGTCAAAAGGTGAATTGGTGTTAGGAAAGAATTTAGCTTCCTAAAGGTTATGGTTTAGGGTCAAACCTAGTCAAACCAGGAAAGGGAATACTTGCTAGGCAAGTCCTTTCCGAAGGATTGGAATTGTAAAAAGAGTAGAACACTAACCACCTAAGAAGAATAGACACTACTAAGAAGGTGGTATATCAATGTTGGACACTGACACTCGTTGGATACTATCGTCAAAATGTGCTCTATTTTTTAAATAAATTTTTAGATATGAACACTCGTGCCGTTTGCTTAAACACACATGTCTACCGATTAGATACATATGAAACTCATTATAAGTTTGAATAAAATAACTTAACATATAATAAGGAAAGAAAAAATAATATAAATTTATACAATAAGTGTTATATTATATATATATTTTTATTATATATTATATATTATAAATATTATAATTTATAAATTATATTATATATATTATATATATATATATGATAAATTATATTTATATTATATAAAACAACTATAAAAACGGAGAGGGAGAGAGAGGGAGAACAGAGATCGAGAGAGAGAGAGAGGGAGAACAGAGACGAGAGAGGGAGATGAAGAGAGAGACGAAGCAAACAGAGACGGAGAGAGGGAGACGAAGAGAGAGACGAAGCAAATAGAGGCGAAGAGAGACGAAGAGGAGATCGAGACTGAGAGAAGAGAGAGAGACAAAGACAGTTGAGATCGACAGTGAGAGAAGGTCTCAGCCCTAATCGCGATTCTCTCGCATTAGAAGCGCGATTCTTATGCGATTCTTCCTTGGAAGCGCAAAATCGCACTTCTTCCTTAGAAACGTGAGTCCCTTCCACGATTCCTGCTACTAAGCTCAAAACTCTGGTTTTGGCACCTAAAAAAAATAAACAAGCATACCAGAGGGGATGCTGGGTGCTAGGGCTGTTCATGAACCTGATTCACCTGACTAACTCGGCAAAACCAATCCGAAAAAACCGAAATTATATGGTTTCAAATTAGTAACGATCGGTTGCTGATGTTCATGTTATAAAAGTTCAATTTCACGATTGGCTTGAAGGTTTAAAGTCACCCCACCCGCAACACCTGAACCAACCGTAAAAATAAATAATTAAATATATACACATGGTACCTCCTTATTCTGCCAACCGAGTAAAAAATCAATATAACTGTGATACCACGTCATCAGTGACATGTGGTATCAGTAACCACTAATATACGTATATGGGAGGGATGAACCACCACCTTGCCACATATACATAGGAGAAAACATAACAAACTCCTTTTGGATGGTGATGCCATGTCATTGGTATCACTGTGATATTGAATTTTTTTCCTGCCAACCAATTGCATTTACCACCTCACTTTATTACCAACTGTCCACTTTCTCTGCTCCGTTTATTACTCTCTTGAGAAAATCGCTCAACCCACCAACTCCCCACTTACTCTCTCTTTCCACTTATTACTCTCTCATCTCTTGGGAAATCACCAGACCTCTCTGGTTCACTTTTCTCTCTTTCAAACACTTTTTTATTCTCTGTCGACTGTTTTCTCTCTTATTTCTCTCTAAAGATAGTTCTCACCTATGAAGCACGAACACGCCGAAATAGGTGTCATAGCAATGTCGGACATGGGGACACGCCGGGGACACATACGAGACACGCCATTTGACGTGTCCCTTAAATTTTATTTTATTTTTTTTGGCAAGGGACGCGTTGGGGACATGCCATCACGCAGAAAGAGTTCAGAAATCAAAGCCCTAAATTTCAAAATTAGAACAGAAGAAGAAGCTGGTTACCTGGTTCGTCGGACATGCTAGAAGACGAAGCAGCAGCTCCGTGACCTCAGTCGGGTAAATCTCTCTCTCTCCTCTCAATCGTCACTCTCTCTCTCTCTCTCTCTCTCGCTTCTCGCTTCTCTCTTCTCTCTTCTTTTCTTTTTTTTTATTTTATTTTTATCTTTTCTGATTTATACATCTTTCTGTTTCTTTTTCTATATTTATTTTTTTATATTTTATATCACAGCAAATATATATATATATATAAAATAAAATAAAATAAAAATTGCCATGTCTCCCGCCATGTCTGTGTCCCTATTTTTTTGAAATCACCATTTCCTGTGCCCATGCTTTATAGGTTATAACAAGTCTCACTCTTCCACCAAGTCTTAGATCAAACAATGATGACAATACCGATAATCAGATCAGACAGCAACAGCAATGATATGATCGATTGACGATGACGACAAGATTGCACAACGACGACGATCAGATATCATCCCCCCCCCAATTTCTGTCTCACCCCCACTGTTTGAGGAATGGGGAAGAAGATGAGCAGTCGAATTCAATTTTGATTTCGACCTACTTTTTTTAAACCCGACAATGTCCGGTTTCGATCATATAATGGATCAAAATCAGATGGCTTCCAATTCTACCCGAAGTGATCAGTTCGAGTGGCGGGTATATGGTGAACCCGACTCGATCCGATTCGTGAACACCCCTCTTGGATGCTCATCCCCAGAGTTCTTTTCATCAATTAGTGTGCAGCTCTTTTTTCCCCAAGCATCCACAATAAAGTTTTACTTAATGAAAAAAGTGCATAGTCATAAAGTTTTCATCCCGCATGTGTCCCTACACTACTTGTTTAGTTCATCAAAAAATTTCAACAAATGTGAATCATTATTGTCATAATCATCAGTACAACACACAAAAACAGACCTGTTTCACAACCACAACTTGAACCATGCACCTCTCCCTTTTGAGTGGCAGACAATAGAGCATTCAAGTTAAGAAAATGTGGTCAACAAAGTTACCAACAATAAGTTAGCAAACTAAAAAGCAAAAAAACTTCTAAGTAAACAGTAAGTCTGTGTTTGACACTGACACCAAGGAAGCACGGGTGCGGGTACGAATACGGTATGGGTACGAGTGCGGGTACGCTAATTCGGCAAAACTCAAAAAAAGTACGATACGGGTACGGCTGCGGTACACCGATATTTTTTTTTTATAAATATAATTATGATTAAAGGATCCAACCTACAAATTAAAATTAAATATGAAAACTAAAAAAAGAACTACTCATTTTCCTATAATTTAAAACCATTAAGCGTTAAAAATAATATTTGTGAAATCTCTCACTTTGACATGCTATGCACTGTGAATTTGTGATCATAATTTATTTTTAAAATCTTTCTTTTTGCTCATCAATTTGTTATTTTTATAGGGTGAGACCAAAGAAATAACAAAAGACCAAAGAAAGATTTAAAGTTAATTGCCAACAGTAAAGGAAAAAAAATTCTCAATTGGGGCAGGTTGTCAATTGCAATTTGCATAATACATAAAATTGCATCATTCCCAACCACTACTAATCAACTAATACAACATCAATTTTTAATATTTTGTGCATAAACCTTAAAAGTTTGTTATGATTAAAGATTTTATAAAGAAATTCTAGGAGGATCTGAAGCAAAAATATAATGCATAGTCATACATAGAACTACCCTTTATAGGCCTTGTTATTTTTTTTTGTTCAAATTGCTTTTTAAAAACATCAAAATCATTTGCTGATATGCTTATATAATTTATACAGGCAGGACAGCAGAGAAATATCAAAATTACTGATCTACAAGGGCATCAAAAAAAAATAAAAAATAATAATAATAATTGCTGATCTGCAAGGGCAGAAAAAAAAAAAAAAAGGCCCTGGCGTACCCACGCCGTACCCGTGGCGTACCCATGCCGTACCCGAATGAGCCAAACGTACCGGACTCTCTTTTGCCGTACCCGGTACGCGTACCGCTGTACCAGTACACGTACCCGCACCCGGTAAATACCCGGTACTCGTACGACACTATTTTTTGAGTATCCGTGCTTCATAGACTAACACAGATCCAAACATGTCCTATTAGTTTTAATTTTGATTTGAAGACTTAGTGAAGACATGTGTCCATCGCTTGGACATACATAAAATACATTAGAAGTTTGAACAAAATTACTTAGGATTCAATGATTTAAAAAAAAAAAAAGATGAAATTATCATATAGTTAAACTATACATTTTGTGTGTGTAGTCCACGTGTCAGTTCAGTTTAATTAAGTTCTTTCGAGTCTTAGGCCTCGTTTGGGAACAGGCTTTGTTAGTAACTTTATGGCTTTTTGACTAAAATGTGATATAAAAAAACTAGTATGTTTGGGATGACTTTTTGACTTTTTATGAAAAGCTATGCAAAAAGTAGAGAGAAAACAGAATCTTTGATTTTTTGGTATGGGTTGTTGGCTTTTTGATTTTTTTAATAACTTTTTGACTTTTTGACTAAAAGGGATATTTGCCAAACGAGGACTTAATCCTTGAACCAAACTGTAATCAACAATTCTCATGCTCTATTTAGTTCACTAAAATGAGTTGAAATAGAATGAAACTTTGTTACCAGAAAATGCTAATACCATAGCGAATTACGTATTGGTACGCACGTTCCGAAACATGATACACTTTCGTTCCAAAAAAGTAAATTTAGTAATTCGAAGTGATCTCAGAAGTTTTTTTTTTCTAATATATTTCTTTAAATGTTACTTAAAGAAAAAAAAATTCAAATATATGAACTAAAATCTATGGTGAGTTAAGTTTTGACAAGACAAAAATTAAAAAAATGGATTGTAATTTCCATAGAAATGATTTGCTATATGGAAAAAAAAAAATTTATTAGACACCTAATAGTTAAAAAAAAATTACTCCAAAAGTATCTTAAATTCTTAAGTGTAATATATATAAGTCTACTCCTATCGTATCACATTTTAGAGAATGTAGCACATCACGTTCCCGTTCCCGTTCCCGTTTTCGTTCCATGTATTAGAACGATCCACGTTTTAGGTAACATAGGAATGGAATGATCATTCCTTAAGCTCTCATATAGAATGTTCATTTCTTGAAATGATGAATGATGATTCCATTTGTAATGTGCATTGTCATTATTCTTTTACTCAACCAAACATGGGAATGAACATATTGATCCAATGATTATTCCATTCTGTTTCATTCCAGTGAACCAAATATTACCTTAATTTCTTGGGTGAATTATACTAATGGTCCCTATAGTTTGGGCCTTGTGTTACTTTGGTTCTTGACTTTTCAATTGTGATACATTTGACCCTGAATTTTGAATCTTGTTCCAAATAAGGACAATTGAAGATATTATTACTCAATTTCAAGGACAAAGTCGTCAATTTGATAAAATATAAACTAATTTGACAAAAATAAATGTCAAAAAAATAATTTTGAATTTTAAAAATTATTTCTATCCACTAAAGATAAATTTATATAAAATTGATAAATCTTTTAGACATTTATTTATGTATTACTAAATTAATTTTTATTTTGTGTTTTAATGATGATCGTGTAATAGATGGTTGTTTTTATTTTCATCAAATTAGTTTCTATTTTTCCAAAAGTCAAATATGGCACTTTGATATCATTATTAAACCAATCCCTTAAATCAAAAAATATAAAACTAAAAATATTTCATATATTAAATATACTGATTATACATTAAAAACCTAACAGCCACCTATTACATGATCGTTATCCAAACACATAATAAAAATTAATTTGGTAAATAAATAAATGTCTAAAAGATTTATTAATTTTACACAATTTTATCTTTGGTTGGTAGAAATCTATGAAGTACGGATACTCCGAAATGATCCCTGTACGCATGTCGGATAAGTGTCGGATACGTATTGGATACGTATATGCGTCCGATACGGCAGGATACATATCAGATACGACAAAGAAGTATCCCAATTTTTATTTATTTTTTAATTTTTTGAATTTCGGATACGTTTTGGAAACACGAGGATACCTCAGGGATACGCTTGGAATACTTTCAGGTTACGACGGGACGAAAAAATAATTTAAAAAACTTATAATGGGGTCAAAATGTAAAATAACAAAAGTAATCTAAAATAAAACAAAAAAAATCAACCAAGTCCTGGCTCAAGGCTCTCGAATAGCAGCAAGGAGGAGGAGAAGGAGGAGGATGAGTTTCTATCGTCTCTATCGCAAGGTTCGCAAACAGCAGCAAGGAGGATGAGGAGTCGTCAATCAAGGTTCGTCCTCTCCCTCTCCCTCTCTCTCCTTCTCGCTCTCACTCCCTCTCTCTCTCTCCCTATCCTTCGATCTCACTCTCACTCTCTCTCTCTCCCCCTCTCCCTCTTGCTCCATCTATCTCTCCCTCTCGCTTAATCTCACTCACTCTCTCTGTCTCTAACCCCTTTGAATTTTTTTTTTTTTTTTTTTTCTTCTTTTTTTTTGCAACTAAGCTAAAAGGCAATCCTAATCCAAGGTATATTTACTCTATTCCAGTCTTGTTAAACAGTAACCGAAAATTTACTCTTAAATTTTTTTTCTATACCCGTGTTACATCTTCTGCTTAATGTTAATTTATGTTTTCCCTTCAGTAACTTGTTACAAATTATCTCTTCAAAGATTTAAGAGATTTAATTGAATTGCTGAATTTAATTGAATTGAATTGCTGAAATTTAATTGAATTGCTGAATTTTTTTTTGATGTTCATGCCAAAAGATAACTACATTAATGTTTTGTTTTATTTCTTTATCAAATTTATAAATTTTAAGAAATGAGTTCGGGTACGGGAAGTTTAAGTTTAACAAGTAGAACAAGTTGAAGCTAGTAACCTTGAAGACTCTTAGCTTTATAGGAATGTTTCTTTTTTATCAAGCTGTCTTTTACTTTAGATTTTATTTTTATGCATACTACATTACTAAAAATTAGCTTTATAGGAATGTTTCTTTTTTATCAAGTTGTCTTTTACTTTAGATTTTATTTTTATGCATACTAAATTACTAAAAATTGTAAAAATAATATTTTTAACGAACGTATTCTCGCCGTACCCGTATCCTAATTTTTCAAATTTTTCCGTATTGCCGTATTCATATCGTATCGATATCTATATCCCGTATCCGTATCCGTGCTTCCTAGGTAGAAATAATTTTTAAAAATTTAAAAATATTTTTTTAACATTTATTTTTGTCAAATAAATTTATATTTTATTAAATTGATGACATTGCTCTTAAAATTGAATAATGATATCTTCAACTGTCTTTATTTGAAACAATATTCAAAATTTAAGATCAAATATGTCACCATTAAAAAATCACCGTATAAAATGACACGGGACTCAAACTATAGGAACTGTAATTTGCCCTAATTTCTTAGAACCAAAACAAACCATCACCAGAAAAACAGGACCAAATCATAGGTTTAGATCGATCTAGCTAGCAGTTCGATCATTGCTTTTTGAACACCCCTAATAAGAATCCATAGATCAGTATCACATTTTAACACAACTAAAGAAGATCAATGAGCTAACAGACAACAAAAGGTAACATTTATGCTTGGATTGCACACACAAGAAAGAGAGTAATAGGATAAGAAATGGAACAAAATATACTATACAACCACACACACAAAATTTAAACAATAATAAATAAATAAATAAAGGCAACCTTTTTCCACAAATTCCACCACAAAAAACATCACTTTTCTTGGAATTTACTGTTTTCTCAGCTCATTCAAATGTCGGTGACTGAAAACAGAGGCTCTAGGGTTCGAAATTCGGGGTTGCCGATAATCAACTTCTCTCTTTCTCTATAGAGATATGTATTATAAGTAACATGGAGAGAGAGAGAGAGAGAGAGAGAGAGAGAGAGATACCTGGTTGGGCGATTGAGAAGAAACCCTAGGGGGAAAGTATACCGGAGAAGAGAGCGATCAACACTAGGAGGTCCAGGAGACTGTTGTTGTGTAGTAGTAGCTGTTGCTGTTTTACTAGTTTCTGTTTTTTGAAAGCGATTTTTTTGTTTTTGCTTTTTTGTTTGTTTTTCAACTTTTCTGTGAGCAGACAACAGTGATCAACCCCAATACGTCGTCGTGTAATCTCAAGAGACACATACACCCCATTCCCATTCGCCGCAAACCACAAAAAACCAGCCCCCAAAAAAAGACACAGAAGAAAAAACACTTGAAGATGATATAAAAATAAAATAATAGTAAACTAGAAAAGAAAGACATAACTATTCAGAAATTATCAAAATTGTGATTAAGATTTATTTTACACATTAATCATATACACTACACAAATTTAATATCAACCACTACAGACAATTATTCATAAAATAAATATATCACACTTGAAATAAGAAAAAGACTCATGTTTGATATTAGCAAAAGTTTTTTAGTGGTAAAAAATAAAGGCCTCTTTTGGTGTTAAAAGTCAATTTATTAGTTTTTTGGCTTTTTAAAATCACATTAATTCTCTATTTTTTATTTTATTTTTTTATTTTTTCAAAAAAATTAAAAAATTAGCTTTAACTTACTTTTCAAAGTAGTCCTAAATTTTAAAATACGAATTTTTTACTTAATGTTCAATATAGTGCCACCTTCTTTACCATTTTATTATTATCACTGTTACCATTACTATTGTAATGGTTGTCACCCTTTCCTTTACTTCCACTATTATTGCAATTACAAGTATTACAATTATCGTCGCTACTGTCACCTTATCTTACTATTATTATTACAACTACGATTATTACTACAACATCACAATTGCCACTTCCACTATCACAATGCCACCTCTCTTGTCACTCCATTACCACCATCTTCACCATTATAAAAACTATTATGATCATCACCACAACAAAACCACCATTATCAATACCACAGTTAAATTATTGTCACAAATCACCATCACTCTATTATTATTGTCACTGTTGTTGTCACGGTCCAAACTAACCCCTAAAAGTTTGGTCCATGACCGGGCCGTACTTAAGCCTCAAAACAAAATTTCAAAATAATATTTATTCAAATATAAGGCCTTAAGCGGAAACAGATACCAAAAATAATAACAGAACGTTCATTGAGCAGTGCTTAAATGCTAGGATTTTAAACATTACATCATATATACAAATATCACAAACGTAGTTCATATATATACAGTCCAAGTCATATAGGTTTAGGCAAAAGTTCACAACCCAAAATTTACATATGAACCTAATGTGCGACAAAAGCCATCATAGCTTGAACAAAACTAAGCTTGGTAAATTATACTACGTCTCTACACGGAGACACTTTGGGTAGCTTGACAGAGAGGCAGACCTCGATACAACTCTAGTGTTGATTCTCGATGGCTCACCTACATATATGTAAAATAAAGGGGTGAGCTAACGCCTAATGAGTAATATTAAAGTAAAGAGGTTAATGAATGATGTCCTTAACATTAGAAAAACATATTTCAGAATTCTGAAATGTATCTTAAATCTTTTAAAACAAATATCTATCGTATCATAATCCATGCCTTTTCACATGGAATACATATTTGAACTATTACAAAACATTTTACATGGTACGTGATACGTCCACTTATACAAAAGGTTAGAAGCACATTTCAAAATAGGACATCCATTCATGCATATAAAATAACACATCGTAACATGAGTCATATAGCGATGTAAAAACATTTGTATTCATATCATGTGTTCTGAACGACCTCGGGTCCACGTATAACATTATGGCCTCGAGCCCAATCATATATCAAAACGGCCTCGGGTCCAATCATTTATCAAAATGACCTTAGGTCCAAACGTATCATATCGTATCACTGTATCTGATCATGGAGTAGATGAAACATCGACATGTCTCCACCTCTCCTTGGGTCCAATTCATGTATGTATGGACCCAAGAGGTGACTCGTGCGAACTCTAGAGGTGACTCCTACTGTAGCATTTAGTTCCGCACAACACTTTGTTCCATACCAGAAATCAATAGGTCTTAAAGACCAAACAATTCACATCATGTCATAGTATAAACGAAACGGATAAACGGAACGGCCTTGGGCCCACCAAATCATATTATAAGTAATTCATATTTCTTGTTCATAACTTATTTCACATTTCTTGGAAATTTGTGCATTTTGATAAAATGTAACATTTAGAGAATCATGTCATACATAAATCAAGATAGATAATGAAAAACATATCTTTACTATACTATTACTCACAGTGATGGGCTTTTGATAGTAATTGGACGATGTCCTAGTTTTGACCTACAACCACAATTACATAACACAACATATGAATATAACCGATCCCTTTCTTTGCTCTTTAATCAATTAGTTATGTTGGTTCTAAACTCATTAGTCCTCAATAGGTCACAATCTGTGTCTAGGAAAATAGGAGGAAACGAAAGGAAACTAGTTAGAAGAAGAAATAGCATAAAACCGATAGACAGAAAGTGAACAACCTTTACTAATTTGAGAATATCTATTTGTATACTCAGAATTTGGATATGAGACCACCACCATTGAAAACTAGACTTCTGGAGCTTGAATTCAGGTTCAAGAATCACTTAAAATGGAGTCCGGATGAGAGAGATATACTTATTTAAAGTTGAGCTGAAACAGGGGAGTGTCGCACTTGCAGGACCAAATCCGCACGTAAGGGAAATCCAGGGCACGTGCGGGGGCACGTGCTTTTATTTCAGAATGTAACTTTGTGGGGGACACTATTGGCCACACGTGCGGGAAATCCCATGGCACGTGCGGGACTAGGTAAAATTCAGTCCGAAAATGGCTTCTTGACTTGGAACCCCTCATTTTCAAAATTAAACTTCAATTTCTTGTAAATCAAAGCCTAAAACTCTTTAACACATAGGGATGGCAATGGGAGGCAATGGGGTGGATATTAATTCTCCATCCCCATTCTCCTATAATAAATTTTTTCCATTCCCCATTCTCCATGGGTACCACCCGCCCCATTTCTTAGAAGCACATTTCAAAATAGGACATCCATTCATGCATATAAAATAACACATCGTAACATGAGTCATATAGCGATGTAAAAACATTTGTATTCATATCATGTGTTCTGAACGACCTCGGGTCCACGTATAACATTATGGCCTCGAGCCCAATCATATATCAAAACGGCCTTGGGTCCAATCATATATCAAAATGACCTTAGGTCCAAACGTATCGTATCGTATCACTATATCTGATCATGGAGTAGGTGAAACATCGACATGTCTCTACCTCTCCTTGGGTCCAATTCTTGTATGTATGGACCCAAGAGGTGACTCATACGAACTCTAGAGGTGACTCCTACTGTAGCATTTAGTTCCGTACAACACTTTGTTCCATACCAGAAATCAATAGGTCTTAAAGACCAAACAATTCACATCATGTCATAGTATAAACGAAATGGATAAACGGAACGGCCTTGGGCCCACCATATCATATTATAAGTAATTCATATTTCTTGTTCATAACTTAATTTACATTTCTTGGAAATTTGTGCATTTTGATAAAATGTAACATTTAGAGAATTATGTCATACATAAATCAAGATAGATAATGAAAAACATATCTTTACTATACTATTACTCACAGTGATGGGCTTTTGATAGTAATTGGACGATATCCTAGTCTTGACCTACAACCACAATTACATAACACAACATATGAATATAACCGATCCCTTTCTTTGCTCTTTAATCAATTAGTTATGTTGGTTCTAAACTCATTAGTCCTCAATAGGTCACAATCTGTGTCTAGGAAACTAGAAGGAAACGAAAGGAAACTGGGTTAGAAGAAGAAATAGCATAAAACCGATAGACAGAAAGTGAACAACCTTTACTAATTTGAGAATATATATTTGTGTACTTAGAATTTGGATGTGAGACCACCACCATTGGAACCTAGACTTCCGGGGTTTGAATTCAGGTTCAAGAATCACTTAAAACGGAGTTCGGATGAGAGAGATATACTTATTTGAAGTTGAGCTGAAATAGGAGAATGCCGCACGTATGGAACCAAATCCCGCACGTGCAGGAAATCCAGGGCATGTGTGGGGGCACGTGCTTTTGTTTCAGAATGTAACTTTGTGGGGGACACTATTGGCCACACGTGCGGGAAATCCCAGGGCACGTGCGGGACTAGGTAAAATTCAGTCCGAAAATGGCTTCTTGACTGGGAACCCCTCATTTTCAAAATTAAACTTCAATTTCTTGTAAATCAAAGCCTAAAACTCTTTAACACATGTTAAATTTCACATCTTTAGCTTCCATAAAAAATCGTAACTCCAAAACAACACTCAATTTCCCATTTACAAGAACAAGGTATCATAAAGTATACATGGTTGGGAGTTCCAAGCTCACTTGCATGGTGAAATCCTCTTCAGCCTCTTTAAGAACCATAAAACTCCTACAAGAAATCAAGTCGTGAACATAAATTCATGCTATGTACAAAGATTCAACATCTTCTTGCTTGATGAAACAAAACACATACATATAATCACATATAACCCATGAAACTCACTCTCTAGCTTATGATCTTCAGGTATTGAGAGAGGAAATCTTACCTTAAGCCTTTAACACCACTTGTTCTTGCATAATCATGGTAAATTCAAGTTAAATCTTGGATTTCCTCTTTCATTCCTACACTTTCTCCTTTCTTCTCTTTGAGTTCTCTCTCTCTCTCTCTCTCTCTCTCTCTCTCTCTCTCTCGTGTCTCTCCCTCTCCCTCAGATATTTTTGGACTCAAAAGTGATAAGTTCAATTCATATATCATGTATGTATATATATATATATATATAAGCTTATCACAATTAGGCAGAGCCAAATGCACCCTTACGAATCAAGCGAAATCAATTTTCAATTAAAATTCCCAAATGGCTCTAAAAATCATGCTGATCACAAATATGTGATCGGTTTTGGTTTATCGCGCTTCTAAGCCTTTCAATTTTTAGTCCAAAGGACACAATTTCAATAGATTTTCTTGTAACCGACAGATACAACTTCAAATCTTTAATATGCACGTCCTTAAACATGCAATTCCACATCAACAACATAAAATCATGACTAATCATAAGTCTCACATAATTTAATTAACCTAATTTGACTTCCATTAGAGCCCAATTAATTATATTTAAATATATCC